CACACAAGAGTCCGACACGCTCTTATTGTGACACACAAGAGTCCGACACGCTCTTATTGTGACACACAAGAGTCCGACACGCTCTTATTGTGACACACAAGAGTCCGACACGCTCTTATTGTGACACATAAGAGTCCGACACGCTCTTATCGTGAAACACAAGAGTCCGACACGCTCTTATTTTGACACACAAAAGTCTGACGCGGGCCATAAAAATACTGTTATTGATCAAAATGAGTCCATTAACTGAACAGAAGAACATGGTGCGTGCGTGCGTGTGTGTGTGTGTGTGTGTGTGTGTCCATCAGAGAGAGAAAACTAACCTGCAGTTTGTGTGAACATGTTTCTCCTGCAGCAGCTGCTGATTAACGAACAGTTAATTGATTTTCCTCGTCTTCCTCACAGAAAACGTTCGGCTGTGGACGATGAAGGCGGGCCGTCGACGAGCGCAGCGCCAGCAGCTAAAAAGGCTAAAGGGAAGACGAGCTTCGGCGACTTCAGCTCCTGGTAGCAGCGACGCTTCAGCCTCAGTGTTTTTGTATTTTGTCTCATTAATGTGCACAATAAAGTTTTTACATGAAACTTTTCTTTTAGTTGTTTCTGTCTTCAGCTTCTGATTGTGAAGTTTTAAATAAATAAATAAATAAAAAAAATCTGATGGTTTGTAGGTCGGAGTCTCCCCCCCCGGTGTCTTCGGTCGAGGTGCAAAACGTGATTTTTTTTTTTTCCTCCCACCGCCGGCATGTGGTGGTCCTGACGTGACTCGGTTCTGGCTCGGCTCGCAGGGGTTCTGTCCACAGATCCAACTGTTCTTAAAGATGTTTAAATCAGATACTCTGAGCCCAGTTAAAGTCAGGCTTATTAAATGAGTCATTGTTTGATTTTCAGCTGAATGAAAACAGTTTGTTTCTGTCTGAAGCAGGAAGATCAAACAAAAATTCAGACCTGTAGTTCAAACATCTTTTTAGTTCTGATTGTTCAGGTAAATAAACACGTCTGAAGATCCTGAACCAGCCCTGATCAACTGGTGGCCCGCGGGCCACATCTGGCCTGCAGGTGACCCAAGTTCGGCCCAAACCCAAACCCCTGTTTTCTACTTTTATTACTGTAAATTATTTTAGTTAAACACAGACATGTTTGGTATCTATGGAAACATCAGAATCTTGACTATAAGCTGGTAAAAACATTTCTACGAACACTCAGGCTTCAAAATATTTGTGTTAAATAAAAAGCAGAATGTGTTACTTTTGTTTTTGTTTAATTATCACTACTTTTATACTGTTCTGTATGTATTCATGATTAAATACAGTAAAATAAACTCATTCAAAGGTAACAGATCTTTAATACTTGGTTTATTTACATAATGACTTTAATTGCAGGATGTTCGGCCTCCAGTTGAGTTGAACAGACCCGTCCTAAATGAAATTTATCAAAGATTTAACAATTTCACAGATGCTCTGAACACAATCTGTCCAGCGTTAAAATAATAATAATAATAATCTGACAAAAATCATCAAAAGTCAGTTTTGTTGGAATTTTAATCATTGAATTGGAAAACAGGAGATTTTATGGTGATATTTTCTTTAGTTTTATGTTTGTTCTGATTGTTTTTGGACCCTTCACTGTCAGTAAAATATTCACCTGATAAACCCAGAACTAACTTTATGTTCACTACATCAAACAGCTGACACTAATGTCTGTAAAAATCATATTTTTTGCAGAAATGCCAGAGATTGAAGGTTGGTACAACACTGATATCAGATATATGTAATAAAGAGACGATGTCTTTGATTGCAAAACGATGAGTTGTTTGAATACTGGTGTAAGTTTACTCAACATATTAAAACAATAAGCTCTGATTTTGTCTAAATGTTAAAAGCTTTAAAGGCTGGAGGAGAAGAAGAAGCCCCGAAATAAAAAATATTTTTACTTGTTCTTTGTTCTTTTACACGTCTGTATTTTTAAGAGAAAATGAAATAATTAACAAAATGTTTTATTACATCATACATTGTATGTATGTATATATCAGCTTCCATTAATATTGTACTATCTTCTCAGTGTGTAACATGTTCAAAAACAAAACAAAAAAAGGAAAATTAAATCATATTTCTTATTCTTCCACTGAGGACATTATTGTGAACACATTTAAGCACCAGATGTGACAGAATCTTATAAACCAAGTTTTTAACCTTCACTGACCTTCATGATCAGGCTTTTCACACCTGAGGTGATAAAACAGCTCTGTGACGTCAGTAAAGTTTTTTTCTTCTTCAGTCCTGCATGAAGACACGTCCAACCGCTTCAGGACACCGGAGTCAGGAGCTGAATAATTCAGCTTCCTGCAGGTGTTGGTTGGTGAGCTGAGGCAGAGGAGCAAACTGTCATTTTACACCTGGACTTGTTTATGTTGAAGCTTCATTAGTTACACCTTTATAACAGGTTTATTACAGGGTTTTTAAAGCCTTTATTCACCTGTGTGACATGTTCAGATCAGGAGCTTTGAGTTGTCACAGACACGATCTGATCATGTATCAAATAAAATAATTTAAATCACCTGATAGAATTTAACAAAAAGTCTGAAGATGTTCAAGTTTCAGTTCAGAGCTGACGTGTCCTCAGAGGACCTGAAGAGGAAATGTGACTCGAGAGAGCATCAAAGTTTACAGAATGTTTTAAAGCCTCTTATATGATGGACTACAGTTCCAGATTCGATCTAGATGCCATCTGAAGTTGATCTATGTAATCTAGTGTTGATCTACAGCATCTGGATTCTATCTAGAAGCCTTGGATCAATCCCAGGTTAGATCTAGATGCCTTGGATCAATCCCAGGTTAGATCTAGAAGTCTTGTATCAACTCCAGGTTAGATCTAGATGCCTTGGATCAACTCCAGGTTAGATCTACATGCCTTGGATCAACTCCAGGTTAGATCTAGAAGCCTTGGATCAACTCCAGGTTAGATCTAGAAGCCTTGGATCAACTCCAGGTTAGATCTAGAAGCCTTGGATCAACTCCAGGTTAGGTCTGCATGCCTTGGATCAACTCCAGGTTAGATCTAGATTCCTTGGATCAACTCCAGGTTAGATCTAGATGCCTTGGATCAACTCCAGGTTAGATCTAGATNATGCCTTGGATCAACTCCAGGTTAGATCTAGATTCCTTGGATCAACTCCAGGTTAGATCTAGATGCCTTGGATCAACTCCAGGTTAGATCTAGATTCCTTGGATCAACTCCAGGTTAGATCTAGAAGCTTTGGTTCAACTCCAGGTTAGATCTAGAAGCCTTGGATCAACTCCAGCTTAGATCTAGAAGTGTTGGATCAACTCCAGGTTAGATCTACACGCCTTGGATCAACTCCATGTTAGATCTACAGTAGATATCTCGGATCAACTCCAGGTTAGACCTAGAAGCCTTATCAATTCTAGGTTAGATTTAGATGCATTGGTTTAACTCCAGATTAGATCTAGATGCCACAGTTAAACTCAAGATTACATCTTCATAGTGGGATTCATCTTTTCAATAGATCTTGAAACTGCTAATTAGCTTTAGAAATAATCCAGATAATTTGTTTCAACTCCAGATGAACTCTCAGATTTTGTGATTTAACTCCAGATTAGACAGAGATTGATTGAACTCCAGATTGGATCCTGATGGCGTGCTTCAACTTCAGACTAGATCCCTGTTTTATGATTGGACTCCAACTTGGTCCCAATATCATGTTTCATCTCCAGATTTTGTCAGCTGATTCCTGTCCAGATTAGATTTTAAATTTGAGTCAACTCCAGATTAGATCCAGATCATGTTCTAACATCTCAGCTGATATATTTAAAATCTTTAAGCATCAAGCTTTAAACTCAGGTTTAGTTTCAGTTTATTGACAGCAGCTGACTGGTTTTATTTCTGTCAGGTTGTTGGTTTGGCTCGTTCACTTTGGTTTTTCCGCAAGTTCTTCCCTCCAGAATTCAAACACGAAGCCTTTTGTGTTCCCAGGTCCGGAGAGATCAGCTGTCGGCGCCTTTTTTATGAGTCTCCCGCTCCAAATTACAGCCATCATCTGTCTGTCTGCTTTCATTTCACAGAGCCGCCCTCCATTTCACATCCAGACACCGTTTCACTCAAATCACTGCCAACTTCTGGAGGCGAGGAAACGACTCAGCCGTCCAGGAAAAGGAGGCGATCTGTGACTTGAACTCTCCTTTTCCTCTCTGTGCCACAGAAAGGCCAGCAGGGTCGGACAGATTTTTGATCTGAAATATTTATGATGGTGTGAAGTCGATGTTGGATTAAGTTCTCCAAACCAGAAAAGCTCTCAGAGGGATAAAACCCATCAGCTTCTGCAAACACTCCTGTTACACAGAAGCTCTTTAAATCTTTCATTTTAATCATTTTAAAAACATCCTGAATGTTTTAACCAGAAAACACATCATTAACACCATTAATGTGCTTCTGCCTTGTTTCTACAGAGGATTGAGTGACGGTAAGAAACGGTTACATCATCACCTGAGGAAGAAAACACCTCCAGACTGAAACGTGTTCCCACGGCTTGAGAACAGGTAGCTTAAAATCAGCTGATTTCTGAGTCTTGTTGATAAACTACGTAACATGATGTTTTTTTAAATTACACATTTTGTTACTTTGCTAACGTTTGTTTTATTTGTTACGATGGAGATTTATTTGGACCAGATCAGGGGGGTCAAACTCATTTTCACTGAGGGCCACATGAGCGTTATGGTGGCCCCCAAAGGGCCAGTTTAATGTTTAACTTCCATTGAGCTCTACCTGGTATTTTCTGCATAGACACAGTGTTTTAACACATCCTCTTATAAACACTGAAAAATAATAATCAGCATGCATTATGGGAGATGTAGTTTATGGTCAATGCTGGCTTCAAAGCAGTTCATTATCTCAGCCAAGGAAGTTATGTTTTCGGTCGCACACGTCTATCTGTCTGTTGACAAAATTACTCAACAACTTATGGACGGATTTTCATGAAATTTTTACGACAGGTGAGTATTGACCAAAGGAACACACCTTTAAATTTTGGTGATGATCCAGATCCAGGAATTTTTTGAAGGGTTCTTCACTCTTACAGGATGGGGAAATTGGCCTTGGCAGAGGTTTGCGCTCTCTTGGTGCTTCTAGTTTAATTCTGTGCTACGCAGCAAAACTGCTCAGTTACATAAATCCAACAGCTCTGGAGCAGAAAATGTATTATTTTTCAACTTTTAAATTATTAGTTGCATTTAATCATACATTTAAAGTTTATCTGTGATAGAAAAACTATTTTCATATTTAGTAAAAAAATAAATAAAAAATTTAAATGACGGGCCAGATGGGGTCACCCACAGATCTTCAGTTTTGACACAAATTGTTGCCATTGTTCGTCTGTCCAAACTGGCACAAATTGGTTTTAAAAACAACGCTGTTGATAAATAACTACTGAAAAGCTCTGTTTTTATTTTAAAAGTGTATTGTTGAAAGCATAACTGTCGCTAAAGTGGGCAACAAAACAAAGTGCACGGCCACCAATACAGGTTTGCGAACAATTCATATAAAAAGATCCTGAGGCTGGTTCTGCTGGAGGTT